CTTTATATTTTTAGTTGTTTTAAAATATTTCTTTTAAAATTTCTAATAAAAAAAATTTTATTAAATTTTTTTTATTAAATTTCTTTTAAAAAATTTTTATTTTATAGTTAATTCTTATTTCACTTTTTACAATCTTGTTGTACACCAGAGAAGTCGAATACGAGAGCTCTGTATTGTATGCACGTTATATGTGTAAAAGAATTTTGTGTCGATCATAATTTTTTTTCTCATTTTTAAAATAATTTAGGTCACGTCTCTTGACAGCGAAGCTGAAGCACTTACAATGATGGAGTACAGATTGTAGAGTACAAACAGTTCTCGAACATCCATTGATCTCGACACGCATGTTCGAGGCAGATGCGTGAAAAAAAATTCAGTTTTAAAATACTGAAATTAACTTTGCAAATTTGACGGCAAATCTAACAGATATATCGCTCTATATTGAAACACACTCTACATTGAAATTGGATATTTTGACGAAACTTAAGATACTATATAGGTATTTGATATGACATATATACGTTCATGCACTCATGTTTAAGTTTTATATTAACAAACAAAAAATATCATAATAATGAATTTCTATTTCAAATACAGATTGAAAATTATGTGAGTTTCATAATTATTAATAATATTTAAAATTTTGATTATGCTACATTAAAAAATTTGTTTATTTATGCCGCATTTATACATTATTAATACATATATTTATACATTATTAAGATTACATACATTATATTTAGGATTATATATTATTGATCTGACCAAAATATAAGTATTTATTTCATATTATTTTTTTTATGGAGAGATAATTTTTTAATCAGACAACAAAGTGCAAGTACTTAAGTAAATAATTTATTTTTTATATTTGTGCTTTTCTTTGTCTTTATTTTTATAATTTCAAAAAGTTATACTATTGTCTTTAAATATACTATTTTATGAGGTATTACTACGTATCATTTGTCAATTTTTCTCTTTCTATCATATTATCTATAAAATAAAGATAACTTCGAGATTTGACAAGCTGTATTTAAAAGGAGAATGAATCCTCAATTAATTTAACTAAATTAAGAAACTTAACTGAGGATTCATTCTCCTTTTAATATATTCATTCTCATTTTAATTACAACTATCTATATGAATTGGCTATACTGTGACTTATAAGCAGATGAGAATTTATTCAAATGAATAGAAATCAACGTAAATGTATTATACTTATAAAGTAACTGATCTTTTAAATGTCTTGAAAACTATAAATTTTATAAAAAGATATTTCAAACAAAAGTTTAAAAAGATCTATTTACTGATTTTATTATACACATGATTTAATATAATAATAATAATTTTCTTGGGTGGTGTCATCGACAGATTAAAATCACAATTTTTAAAATGAGAACTTCCATTTTTATTGCATATTCTTGTAACTTATTTCAAAACATAAATTTTTCAAAATATTATGACAAAATATTTTCTCATTAAATACTTTTTAAATTATAAGGCTTGAATGTTACAGTGTCGATATTAGCATTATTTAAGGTATTAAACTGATGATTAAAATCTTTTAAATGTTGTTCAGGATTATAATTTTGATAATATTTGTCAAAATTAAATCCTTTTAAGATTGTTCCTTCAAATGAACTATATTATGTATTTGAAATACGGAGGATAATTGGAACATACAAGGAATTACACGGTTATTTATCACAAGAAAGTGTACGTACAATTATTATATTTATATTATATATTTGAAATGATGGATACGGCCGCATGGAGTAAAAAAAATTGTTATTCGCATTATGGCAGAGAAGATAAAATTCTCAGCTATCGAATCGAAATGTCGGCATATGTAATGTAATTCATTGAAGGTATGCAATATATCGCAAAAAGGTATAATATAATAAAAGGTTATATGTCGGAACTTAAAAAAGAAAAAGAAGAAAAAACATGAAAAACTGATTGCGTCGTACAGATACGCTCTGATTACCGCGAGTGAAGATTTTTATGTATTTTTTTTTCTTTAAATATCGATTCAATTCACATTTGACGAACCATAAACTCGGTTATTCCATGAAACGCGTGCTTACCTTTCAGCTTCCAAATTCATTGATCATGTGATAGGTATTTCGAATGGCTCCGAAGTAGAGATGATAAAAATATGTGTAAAAAATAAAAGAGGGAGAGAAAGACAGAGACATAGAGAGAGAAGATGAAAGAGAGAGAGAGAGAGAGAGAGAGAGAGAGAGAGAGAGAGAGAGAAAAGAGAGAGAGAAATATTACAAAGTAGGTTGAATTAAATGTTAGCTTGAATTAAATAGTTGTTTATCAAAAAATGATAAACCGTGTTACAGTATGTTCGTCATAAAATATTTAATTATAGCAAATACTTAAGTAATAACAAGATTAAAAACTGAATTTTTTACCCAAAGTGCTTCTCATATTTATAAGTGATTTATTATTATATTTAATTTTATGTATTTAAAATAAATCTGAAAGTTAACATTTATTTAAAAGAGCTTTATAAATAAATAAGGCATGAACTGATTTTCATCTCACCTTTCTATCAAGATTCAACCGATTCACTTCTGGAACATCTATTTATATCTTCATATTCTATAGCTCGATTGCTCGATTAAAGTAAATGCTAAGTAAATGACATATGATGAATAATCAACCAAAAGTATTCCCGATATAATATGCGTCAAGGTCGCATTATCCTTCGCTACGTGTTGGATTTTTTAATGAGCCGTCTATGTCATTAATCAACCGACACTGCACAAGTGTAGGAGCATGCAGCGGGACAACAGGACGGTAGCAAGGAAAGTGGAATAGAGAAAGCAGCACCATTTGCTGAGGTGAGAAGAGGATATTTGTGGGCGGACACGCGCGGCGTAGTCAGTGAATCAGCAGGATACCGCACCTGATCAATTAAGCTGCTAATCGTGCCGAAATCACTGGTCACTATCGCCACTATTATCCATTGGACATCCTCCATTATCTTGCATACCGAAACTCCGGTTATGTATTCTATTCATTTTCTAGCATCATCATCTTCCACATCTTCTCGTTTTGAATCACTCCTCGCTTTAGGTCGATTAAATAGTAATTAGATGGACGAGGGACTGGGACGATTCGGATATTATAAATCGGTTATTCTTTATAAATTGCTGCCAGCTGCTCGCTGAAGCGGTGACAACGAGCACGAATACGAGCGTGACAGCAATAAGCTGGCGCGGCCCTTGTATCTCGCACGACTAATCGAGGCCTGGAATCAGGGCTTGCCTGCCACTCTTACCTCTACCATGAACATTGAAGAGCGGCGTCACGAGCGCTACGCACGGAGAAACTACCCCTTGGATTCGGATCCACTAGGGGTGGATTGCGCCATGCCAGAGATATATCCGGTGGCGCAGAGCGTAAAGTTCTCCAGCTAGACTCGTTCAATTGCGCGGGCGCACGCGCATTCTTAATCCATTGCGAGATTCTTTTACGCCTCACGTGGTGCTAACAAAAATAACGCGAATTGTTGATAGAGACTGGACTTACATTTGATATATTTAGTACCTGACATTTTCTCTTCCATCTAACACTTTTGCCAAGTGTTTTCGTGTGTCGATAGCGTCTGTATTTCTTTCCTAATGTTTGAAAGATATTTCTTTCTACGTTTAAGTATATTTATACTACTATTACATTTATACTACTGTTAAAGAAAGCTATTAATAAATGTCAGACGTGAATATGTCTTTAAAAATAAATAATTAGTTATTATTAAGGCGAATGAAGTAAAATTGTAATAGACAAAATAATTTTCTTGTGATAAATAAACATAATCCTAGGATATATAATAGACCTAAAATATTAAAATAATAAATAAAATAATAAAATATTTTTATAATTGTCCACAAAATTTCCATTAATTCATAGATTTTTATAATTTTAGTTTATGTCTTTCATATCTTATGCATAATTATGAAATAGATTTAAAAAAATTTTTTAAAAAGTCATAAAATTTTTATACATAAAAAGTAATGGTTTTATTTAAGTTAAAGTCTATTTATCTCTTTTCCTCTTACTTTTGACTTTATTTTTTAATAACGTATTCGGTCTGAGCAGGTTTGCAATTTGGATTGGATTAATGACATTGTACGCTCTCTTATTGGTAAAACATGTGACGTCAACCAATAAAACATAATTCAATCCAAATCGATAAATTTGCTCGAGTCGAAAACGCTATTAAAAAATGCAATTAAAAGTAAGAAAAAAAGAAGACAAACAGACTTTTAATTATAATATATATTTAGTTATAAATTTAATAGAAAATTAAATATTATTTAGTTAAGATTATATAACGCATTTATATTTTTATATATTTAATGTATATTATTACTGATGTATATATTACTTGAAACAATATCTTTTGATTGCAAAATTAATTTTGATATTGAATTAATTTTGATAGTGAATTAAAAAATTCACTATCATTGCAATAGAAACCTCTTCAAGTTTCATTGTTATTTTATTATATATTATTTATCATATGAATATTTAACTTATATATTTGTTTTTGCATATATTATAAATATATCCTATTTGAATTAATCTATAATATTTGTAAGTTAACATTAAATGAACAAAATATACTTATTTTACTGCGGCTTTTCTTAACTACGGTCGGTATTCATAGTTGATTCTTATTTTAAGACCGTATTAAGTAATGTCTCAAGCTGTTAATATTATAGTTCTGATTGATTCATGATTCTTTAAGATAGTCTTAAATATAAGAACCGACTATGAATATTGGCCTACGTATAATCTTTTTTTAAATTTTATGTCTGTGATTCCTTTTCTCGTATCTTTCTTTATGGAGCAACCTGTGGAGCCTGTTTAACTCCTTTAAAATAGACACTTTCAATCGCATGCATTCCCATCCTTGTCTAACCCTAATATTGCATTCTTTCGCATTTTATAGTTTATATATAGATCGAAACTTTAATAATGCTTTATTAAAATGTTATCTTTTTCTATCGATTTGTAATTGCAAAATTAGTTATTCTAATTAATCTTAAAAAATGGTATATGGATTCACTATAAAATACATAGCATTATCGCGCACTTTTCTTTTATCTATCTAATAAAATTTATATTTATTTCTTACTTCAAAAGTTAAGTGCAACTATTTCTTGTATTGTCTACAATTTTTTAATTATATAATTTAGTGAATTCAATGGTTTTTATGAAAAACGATGTGAAAGATTTTTTTTATAAATTGAACTCTAACAATATCGATTAATACAACTCTTCAATTCTAAATTAAGATCGATATTTTTAATAATATCGATATCTTTATATCTTTTTATCTTTATATCGATATCTTTAATAATGATATCTTTAATTCAGTGACAGTAAGTTTTAACTTTTTTAAAATAAAATTTCACTAAAAAATTAAAACTAACATGTGAAACTTACAACGAAGTTAGTATGCAATTATATATCCTTTTTTTTTTTTTAGAAAAAATAGTTTGTTCACAATTAAGCAAAAATCATTTATTCTTCTTTTGGAGCGATATTTTCAGTCTATTAAAATCTCCAATTTCATTCCTTTTTAACAATAACGAATTAACAATAACTTTAGTTGAGAACTTTTCACCTCTTGCAATAAAATTTACTGCAGCAGCAGATTTAGTGATTCAATTACTACTAATGTTTGAAGTGAAATCTCAGCTTATTGTAAAATTTTGCTGCTAAAAGTTTAGAGTGAATTCTTTTAATAAGTTTCCAAGATAAAATCTTTTCATATAAAATTTGTAAAACATATAGAATATATAATTTGATATTAGGTAACACTGTTCATAGGTAGGCAGAGCGGACTAAATTTAATTGAAAAGTCCTGTATTATTTGGCAGTTTTTATAAAAAATAGTAACCAAAACATTAATTATTAAAGATCACCAATTAAATGCATATCCGTCCAACCCACCACAAGTGCGTGGCGAAATGCGACCATCCAGCGCTCGAGGTCACCAGCGCGCGTCGCTAGCGTCCGGAGGAGTTGTTTACAGTTGTGTTCCGTTATTCGTTGCGAGTACTGAAAATCTATAATGTATATAATAAACTATAATAAATTTTCAGTATTTAGTCACTCAATAATTTTACTTAAATATACTGGCAATTTTTAACTTTGAATTTTAGAAAATTCGAATTTGTAATCTAAAAGTTTCTAAAAATGTCCAGGAATGTTTTTTGATGAATAGAACATCGTCAATATTTTGCATAATTTTTCATTTAGAAAAGAGAAAAAAATTATAATAAAAAATATATTTTTTTAACGCCATTCTCGCAATGATGAGGATAGGGAATTAAAACTTAATAAAAATGTTTTATTCATGAAAGCCTAACGTATAGCAAGTCTAATTTGACGTGAGGGCCAAATTTTATATATATTCTTTATTATATGGTAAATACTATGATATTTAAAAAGTAAATTATTCTGCTTAATTTTCTCTCTTTCTCTCTTTCTCTCTCGCTCGCTGTAATTAAATACAAATTCAACTTGTGATTGATATATTTGATATCTCTTTTTAAATATTCAATAATCTTTTATATATTTTTTAAATCTCCATTTACTTGGAGAGTATTAAATTTTAATGGTGAGTAAAGAATATAATTCTAGTTTAATTTTTTTAGTTTTAAAAAAAATCGATAAGATCATTACATTATAAATTCTTTTGCTTTTTATAAAATATGATAAATGTATAAAACATAATAAGTGTATATATTGTCTAATTTCTGTTTAATTCAATTAATTTGTAAAACTGTAAAATTATATTTTATGTTACGGGTGCAGAGCGTCCCACCCTTTTTTATCAAACGATTTATACCAATTTTCATTAAATCTAAATAAATTCTACGGTTCTAATCAATATGAAAATCGGTTGCTTTTAAAGATAGTCATCGGCCGTTCTTGCAAGATGATCGCCTGGATGTACTGCATCTTTTGAATCGCGGTTTGAACATCCCTGATCTTTCTCCCTAAAATTGTTGTCGTCCCTGAGATGTAACCTGTTGCGACGCACGCATCCTTTCCCGTCTCATCTTTATGCTCGATATCCATCGTCTCTTCCGTCTTTCGTCCCTAAGGACTTCTCTCTTCCATCCCCTCTCTTTCTCTCTTTCTCTCTCTCTCTGTCTCTCTTCCTCTCTCTCTTTCTCTCTCTGCATCCCTCGGTGATGAAACCGGCCGCCCACCACCCCCAACCTCCAGCACTACCCCCAGCTACCAGCTATGCTCAACAGCGAATCGTTTTCTGGTGGTGCACGAGCCCTGGCAATGGTCGGGCGCGTATAAAGTCAGTCGGGCTAGCCCAGTATCGCGGTACAGTGATACCTAGTAACACACATCCATGTTAGGTCGTGATAGACGTAGCGAGAACGGGATCAAAAATCGATAAAAGACATCTCGTATTTTCGTATGCGAGGGTGCTTGAATGAATCTAAATTGTGATTGGGTGGTAATTATAATCGATTATAACACGATTGTTATATAACCAATAGTGTATCGAGATCCTAACGAGGGTAAAAATACAATTAATCATTACTGCGTGTCATGAAACCGAAATTGTTTGCTTGTTACTACTCGGGCGACTGACAATAAATCATGTCAGCGTCTAACTAATCGTAATTCGTTATTCGGTTTAGACATTTATTTCGTTCTTAGTGGAGAGAGAGAAAGAGAGAGAGAGAGAGAGAGAGAGAGAGAGAGAGAGAGAAAATAGGCAACTGTGATGTAAAATTAATTGGATCGAGCTACGAGTAGAGTAACGAGCTGTGGCTGTACATGACCGCTGAACTATAATGAAATCAGATATCCTTTTATTCAGTTTTATATGCGATTAACAGAGAATGTAATGAGCGATTATGATGAGCGAGAATTCCGTTGATGTCTTATTGACCAAAATGAATTTGTAGAGTAGGACAAAAATGGACAAATAATATAAAAAAAAAATAATTGTCTTTCTCTTTAAGGAACTCTAACTCTTTAAGGAACTTAAAATCAAGCCAGATAATATAATTTCATCGTTATCTGACTTGAATTTAAATTCCTTAATATAATTCTATTTCCAGATAATGATAATATAATTTTCAAGGACGTACCTAAGTAGGTACGTCAATCAGAATAAAATCAATTTTGGTCGATTAGAATAATTATCGATTGAGAGTCAGTACCGCCTATTCGTTTTTCATAGTATTTATTGAAAATCAATTTAGAGTTTTTTTTTGACTAAATGCTTTATATTATAATGATCCTCATGACAAGCAAATCCAATAATTAATGTGACATTTGAAAAAAAAATTAAGATAGTATAAGAGAGTTTTAATAATATATTAATAATTTCTTCATAATAATATTCAAAGATAAGAAAGAAAAAATACATTTCGACTATTTAATTAATTATATGTGTTAACAACTTAAACTTTAGGAATAATTTTCTATATAGAAAAATTTTATATGTTTTTTTAAATTAAATTCAATGAAATGCAAATTATGTAAAATTAATATTCGATTTTTCAGAACATAAAATTGTATTCAATAAATATTGTATTACAGAATACATTACACAAGCCTACAAAAAATATTTTGTTATTAAAAAATATTTTTTTTACTTAAAAACGATGGTATATAATCCTGAAGGTTTCTGGCATGATAAAAGCAGATCCGTATCCCAGATTGTTCCATCACAAATTTCCGAAATATTTTAATCTTAAGATTCCAAAAATGTCCATTTTGGGCCTTTCGAGTTCGAATATCTCGTAAATCTGATGAGAAATACGGATTGCAGATTTGACTTCAGCATAAATAAATCTACAAAAATCAACTGTTAGATTTTATAAATGGGTCATAGGCTGTGTTATTCCTACAAGTACAGGAAATTTATAGTATCATAACGTGAACTATAAATTTTCAGTATCCTATCATTCTGCAATGGAACGTAGCCATAATGGAATAAAAAAATTAGGTATTGGCAAGTATGCTCAATGCACTTAGTCAAACTCAGATGAAAAATTAAAACTGAAAAAAAATTTTTTAAATACATAAAAAAATATGAAAGAAATATTAAACAAGGTCAATGATCGAATTAAAAATGGTTGACAATTTGAATTAATATTTAATCTAACATAACAAATTTAAAATACGTTATGATTCTTCTTCAGTTATACATTAGATAAAAAATGAAAAAGTTAGGTGAAAAAAAAATGAATCGGTAACCGTCACGTTCCCATTTGTGTCTCCGAGTTCACAGGTGATTTTCATAGATTTTTGCTGAAGTCAAATTTGCAACCCATATCTTTCCTTCACATCTGATTTACGAGATATTTGAATTTATTTATTCCAAAATGCTCGAAATAGATTTTTTGGAATTATAAAATTAGAACATCTCGAAAATTTAACATGAAGCAATTTGAACTATGGATTTGTTTTTAGCATGCCAAAAATTTTAGGATTACAAACTGCCATTTCTGAATCAAAATTTATTTCGGCCTGTTTATCATTAGCTATACATTGTTTCAGCAGTTTATTGGTTTTTACTCAATATCAAAGTAGTAATTCATACAATTTTAATAGCGTATATTAATCATTCAAATTTTCAAATTTATAAGTTAAATAAATTATTGTGAACCATCTAATACATCTTTTGTGACAAAAAACCTAATATATTGTATTAAAAGCATGAGCTAGTATTCTTAACAATTTAGATGCTCTCTAATACTTCAATTTTTCGCAAGTCAAGAAAAATCTGAACTAATCGTATAAATGTATCTCGATTAATAATGAAAATATATATATCCATACGGGATTATATCCGAATTGCTCCAGATAAAGTAACGAGATAATTAATTGGCTGCAAATGTACGACAATATCGTACGTGACTAATTGATTTAACGAAAATAAATTATGCAAGCAAATGTATCTTTATTACGCTTCAAATGATTAATTAATGTGTCTATGACTTTATTAACAATGAACAATATAACAAACTACGCGAAATATTGAAAATACTATTTGTTGGTGCAAAATTATTTAAGTATATATTAATTGAATCAATTATCATAAATTTTAATAACAGATGTAGCGAATTAGATATGCATTTAATTGTTTTTTATTTTTATCTTCATTTTCAATTAATCTACTTTCCAGATAATATTTATGTTGTATAAGATATCTAAAGACGTCTTTTAGATATCTTATGCAACATGTATGTTATCTGAATTGGTAGATTCTTCTTTCAGTACGCTATGTAACATTTATAATATTATAATAAAAGCTTCAGAGGGGTGGGCGGAGAATATTAATAGCACTTCTACTAAAAGCTCTTATATTATTAATTTATGTGAAAATTTACTTGCGTTAATAGTCACGCGAGTAAATAAATATTGATTTTTTTTTTTTATCAAAAAAGACATAGAGATGAACTCGAGACGAATTCGAATTGTTTCCTAATCATTTATTCGGGAAACTATGTTACTTTCCAAATATATACTCCGGACGCAAATGTAAACTTTTGTGTTTGCTCGAAAATCGTGTAAGGTACTCCAGAATTGATACTGAAGTAGGAATCGCAAGTGTTTAACGCGAATGACCACAAAGTGATTTCACGATTACAGGTACATACAAAGCGATAAATAGGTTGTGTCAGATCCGAATCATCGACATCTTTTTGTTAATTATCCCGGAGAAGTTCCCGCCGTGTTAAATTAAAAATTGCGCGAATTGCTGAGGAAAAACAATAGTGGACGTATAGTAAATCGAGAATCAAGCTAGCAGACTCGCGCCTTCCTTGAACTCAGACAGTTTTACACACATTCGTCAAAGTGCCGGACAAATTGTCAGAAGTTCTGGGCGATGTCCTGGAATTATGCGGCGGAGGCGGAGGCGGAAGTGGCGGTAGTGGTGCTGCAACTGGCGACAAAAACACGTCAAAGAACACATCGAGCGGAAGCGCGGCTACTAAGATCGGTGCTATGACAGGAGTAGCGATAATCAAGGGAAGATGGGCCCCAAGAAGCACACGTTCGCAGCTTTCTTCCATTGCTAATACCGACAGTGCCGACAGTACAACTTCGACTAGTTCGGAGGTACAGCTGCATATTTTAGAATTGCACAAAATGTTGAATATTTGTTAATAACTTATCCTGGCGAAAATAAAGATCGAAATGTATGTCAATGCAGGGATGGGCAGTTTGAAATACAAGTATTTAAAACGTATTCGAATATAAATTAATTGAGCACGGTAAATATAATAAAATTGTACTTTGCATATGGAATAGAAAATATAGATATAAAATATATAAAGTATAGAGTATAGTATATATGTAAATACATCAGAAAATTCGTATTTTGTATTTTGTATTTTCAAACATTTTTTTATAGTACTTTGCATTTTGCGTTTAAATATTTTTTTAAAAATATTTTATTTATAAATTCATTTAAATTATTATTAACATTAATATTTTTTTTTATAAAAACCGCATCATTGTTGACTTAATCTATATATAGCGTTATGTCTTAGCATTCATTTCTCATTAAATGAAAATGGTATAGATGATAAGATACTGATAATAAGAATAAGAGTTAATGCTCCACATAATTAAAGGAATATAGAGAACAGTAAACAATTTCAACCTATTAAAAACCGTATTCCACAGTACATAATACAATTTTTAATGTTTTTTGGCCATCTCTGTGTTAGATAATTGTAAATAAAATTGGAAAATAATATTTTGTAGAAATATTTATCAAATATTATTTTGTTTTTTGTATTTAAATATTTGTTTGTATTAAATTTACCATCTAATTTTATTTTCTCCAAAATAATTCTTATAATATAAAACACTATTTTGTATTTTATCTTTAATCAATTTTTCTGATGTATTTACATATATCTATATTTTATATATTTTATATCTATATTTTCTATTCCATATGCAAAGTACAATTTTATTATATTTACCGTGCTCAATTAATTTATATTCGAATATATATTATATATATATTCGATATCTTTGTTACTTTTAATTCAATTACTTCTAATTCAAGAAATGAAAATTAAATCGAAAGACACTTTAACTAATTTCGAACAAGCTAAACTTGAGATTCAGTAAGATATCTATAAAGAATTGAGATCTTCTTTATGATTTTTTAAAATTTTGTTCAAGATAAAAATTGCAAAAAATATTATCTCGGATTATTCACGAAAATTTTAGATGCACGCGATAGTGCTTTGTTCCTTCAACACTTCGGAAAGCACTTCTGAATGCACTTGTTGCGTCCTATTATGGGCGTCTCTCTTTATTGCGTGTGTCATTTTACTTACTGTTTCCCTGTATATCGCAATTTTACGTCGCATGTGCAACTAATCTCGCATAGATTTAACCATAATTGCTCTTTATCTTTCAAGTAATGCTACTTCTTTGGTATGCAAATTTATGATAATTTATTTTCCAGAACATTTGACTTTGACAATATTTAAAGAATAATTGAAACTTATAAAAATATTGGAAATTGATAAAAAATCATTGAAAAAATTCTGAAATAAAACTTATATAAATTTATCGAAATGTGTTCATGTAATGGAATCACTATAAGTAAATTGAGTTTTAGAGCTCGTTATAGAAAAAATTAACTGTGTATTATTCACTGATACTGGCATTGGTTCACCCAAAAGATAATTTGGATAAAAAGTTTAAGTTTGGAATTCTTATACAACATCTAAAAGATATGTTAAAGACACTTTTGTAAGAACTGTCTGAAAAATACATAAAAGATGTCTTATGATTTTTAGTCTTTGTATCATTTCAATAAACGCTTATACAAAACATCAAAATTGAACAAAGAATACAAGAGCTAAACACTTTTATTTTGCTTACTTTATTTTTTACTATCCCTTTACATATTTATGTATCATCAAATAATTATTAAATTTTTTACAATCCCTAATAATTATTCTATGTGAATTATGTTATTGCACTATTTACTACATTGATAAATTGATTCATTTAACGATGATTTTATTAATGGTAAAAAAAACTAAAATCATAACACAATATTAATATAACATTGAATGATTGTATACAAACTACTCTTTTGTTTTTATTTCTGCGACGTAAGTCTCCACGTGTCATAAATACCGGATTATCCTGAATCTTTTTCCATTTCTGCAAATTTTTTATTAATTTGTTTTCATAATTATCAAGTGCATGCTATTTTTTAAATAGCATTAATATATAATTTAATAATAATTTA